GAATTTGTGTTAGGGCCAGCGTACGAACATTGCCGTAGCTCCTTACGCCATCTTACGTGACAACCTTACGTTACGTGAGACGTAAGCTGAATGTACGGCAACGCACGAAAATTTTACGTTACGTTACATTACGGAGGAATATAGAGATTTTGTGACAAAGGTAATTAAATCAGATTATTGAACAATAAAGTAAAAAAACAATAATAATTTATCTTTACAGTTATAATTAGAAATGTCTATATTGAGCACATATTAATTTTATTAAACTGTTAAATGTATCTGTACAAAATTATAAATATTGCGTTATAACCTCTTCCCAACATTATATATAGAATATGTTTGACATATAAATATTGAAATAAAATTTTAGGTTCTTAAATCAACAAATATAAAAACATCAAAGTCTATGAAGTTAAAATGTTTATTGTTGTCATTACTCTTAATTTATTATATGAGACTAAAACGGAGAAAAACACACAAAAGATGGCAAAATAGAAGATGGCTCGTGAGACCAATTAATCAACAGAGAAAACAGCAAGGAGGATGAAAATCTATTTTAAGAATTAAAAACTGATGAAGACATGTTTGTCAAATATGTCAGGATAAATGTTCAACATTTTAACAAGTTATCAACCATGCTAAGACCTTATTTGGTAAAAGAACTAAGAAAGCTCTGTCTCCGGAACATAGGTTAATAATAACAGGTAAATATAGTTTATTAGTAAAAAATTATTTGATGCAACTACTTCTTAAATTTTTAGTTATGTTTAGAAATTATTGTTAGAAAAAAATGTTTTACGAAATTATAAACTATATAGCAAAAATTGTGATATATTTTTCAGATATCTTGCTACAGGGAATTCAATAGAAAGTATTGCATTTTCTTTTCGAGTTGGGTAGTCAACTGTTAGACAGTTAATGAAAGAATTGTGTCTAGTTATTGTTAATACATTACAGCCTCTATATTTAGCATGTCCAACTGAAGAACAGTGGAAAAATATTGCTGATGGATACTGGAACCGATGGAATACGTCTAACTGCTTTGGAGCTATTGACGGGAAACACATAGTTTTGCGATGTCTTGCTAATTCTGGAAGCTTGTATTTTAATTATAAGAAACAATTCAGCTTTGTTCTTATGGCAATATCTGATCAATTATATAGATTTAGTTTAGTTGATATAGGAGCTTATGGAAAAAATAGTGACGGAGACATTTTTGAATCGTCAACTATTGGAAAATATTTAAAAAATAATGGACTTAATTTGCCCACTTCACGCGCTTATCTTCTCGGAAGTAATATCTCTATGCCTGGATTTTTTTTATCGCAGATGCTGCGTTTCCATTATGTACTCCCATGATGATCCATCAGCAATATTCTTCCACTGTTCTTCAGTTGGACATGCTAAATATAGAGGTTGTAATGTATTAGCAATTACTAGACACACTTCTTTCATTAAACAGTTCGTTTAACAGTTGACTGCCCACCTCGAAAAGAAAATGCAATACTTGCTACTGAATTCCCTGTTGCAAGATATATGAAAAATGTATCACAATTTTTGCTATATAGTTTATAATTTCGTGAAACATTTTTTTCTAACAATAATTTCTAAACATAACTAAAAATTTAAGAAATAGCTACATCAAACAATTTTTTACTAATAAACTATATTTACTTTAATATATTATTAACCTGTGTTCCGGAGACAGAGCTTTCTTAGTTTTTTTTTTACCAAATAAGGTCTTAGCATGGTTGATAATTTGTTAAAATGTTGAATATTCATCCTGACATATTTGACAAACATGTCTTCATCAGTTTTTAATTCTTAAAATAGATTTTCATTCTCCTTGCTGTTTTCTCTGTTGATTAATTGGTCTCACGAGCCATCTTCTATTTTGTCATCTTTTGTGTGTTTTTCTCCGTTTTAATCTCATATAACAAATTAAGAATAATGGCAACAATAAACATTTTCAACTTCATAGACTTTGATGTTTTCATATTTGTTGACTTGAGAACCTAAAA